CGACTTGTTACCTGAGCAGAGGATACATCAACTCCGGAACAGAGGTCCATTGGCACGCTACCTTTTCAGCGTCTCAGGTCAGGGTGGCTGAGAATCTTCCGAAGTAGTTCCATATACTCCATTCAACAGAATAAGCTTCCTTAGAAGTTGAGAGCATTTAATGCTCGGGGTGAGTCACAGCGGGGCAGCTGGGACTCCGCTGGAATGGACGGACCCTTGGCACATGGTCCAATTCCATACTCCAAAGCTGAATTTCAGTAAGAACTGAAAGTTCCTGTACGACTCGCCATCAGACCGAGTCTCATCTTCGACTGAAAGTTCCAGGACGACTGGGAAGACTGGGAAGACTGGGAAGACCGAATAGTTCCAAGAAGTGTTGACTTTTAAAGGGTATCCACTTCCTATCACTTGATACTTCCTGATTGGTTGAAACAACCAGCAGGGGTGTAGTTTTAGTGATGTCAGAGGGTTATTAGGAGTCAGCAGACAGCAGAAATGTTTTTAAGAACAGTTAGTACAGACAGGAAAATATTTTGAAGAAGTGAGAGACAGTAGGTGCCAGCCAGTTCTTATTTACTGCCTGAGAGTTTTAAAACAATGCACTTCGTTCTCATAACTTGTCTTCTGACTTTTGGCCGACATCAGGTCCACTCTTCACACAGACAGAAGAGTAAATGCACACTTACTTCGTAAATAGACATTTAACTTGTATGATCTAAGTCTGATGAGGTTTAAAAATCATTAATACTGTTTCACAGTTGATTTAAATGAGATGTTCACTTCAACATTAGAAATGGTATGAACTAAACACACGTTTGATTATCAAGACATTGTAAAATAGTAATGATAATATAAAAAAAGAAGAGTGTTCTTTCAATTGATTAATTCAGGATACAATTAAATAGTCTCTCGATGAGATAATTTGTATTTCTGGATTCAAATCAATGAAATAACAGTTCCTGTCCTCTGAAGGTCTTCAGAGACAGATTGATGTCGGAGGTCTAGTTCACTACACCCATCTCCACGGAGGAGATGCCGCAGATGTCGGGGAAAGTGTGCTGAGTTTTGGTGAAAATGAGGCACCATGTGGATTATTCTGCCAAAGACGCTGGGGCTCGTTCTGGACGTGGATCTGATCCTTGCCTCCCAGACCGGTGCGTTTGGGGCCCTGCTGTTGGCCAGCTACCCGTGCGCCCTGATCATGTAAACAACAGGAGTTGTCTACCGGCGTGGCGCACGACCCGACCTGGAGGTGCTGTTGTTCAAAATCTGCGGCCGCTGGCACGTGCTTCCTCCACCGCTGCTGGGTCCACTATGGACTGTATCAGGATGTGTTTGGTCAACGCAAGATCTGTTATCAACAAAACTTTTATCCTCAGGAACTACTTTGAAGAGCATGATTTGGACTTTTTCTACGTCACAGAGTCTTGGATGTCTCCCGGTGAGTCCAGCGCCTTGACAGAATTATTACCCCCTGACTGTCTGTATTTTAATGCCCCACGGCCATCAGGCTGGCGCAGTGGTGGATTATTCACAATATTCAAATCAAACTTTGACTGTAAACAACTGCCCATCCTGGTTTCCTGCTCCAGTTTTGAGCTGAGTGCCTTTGAACTCAGCCATTTACCTTTGACTCTGTGCGCATTTGTTTACTGCCCTCCTCGATCCAATGATTTCATAAATGAATTCTTCGACTTCCTGGCTGAAATCATACCAAAATATGTTCATGTATTGATTATTGGGGACTTTAATATTCATGTTTGTTGTTAGGAGAAGCCCTTGGTTAAAGACTTTTTAGATTTATTGGACTCATTTAATCTGACTCAGCAGGTAAACGGTCTCACCCAGGAGTGCGGGTACACACTGGACCTTGTTTTAAAGCGTGATGTGACAGTTAGCAGTTTTGAAATCTGTGTTAATGTGTTTTCAGACCACATGCCAGTCCTGTTTGAGTTCACCTTCCCACACCTAACTCCTAAGCCGTGCGCTCCTGCACGTCGTAGCCGGGCCATTAACCTCTTCACTGCTGCACATTTTGCAAATGTTTATAACTCTGAAATGATAATTCAACCCCAGGTGTTTTTCACCACCACTGAGGAGCTAACATCCTAGTTCAACTCTGTCTGCTTAAAGGCTCTGGATCATGTTGCTCCAGTAAAAACCAGAAAAATAAAACTCAGATCAGAACCTTGGCTGAATGATGTCACCAACTGAATTCATTTCAGTTTGTTTATATAGCACCAAATCACAACAAAGTTGTCTCAGGGCACTTTACAGGAACATTCACATACATGAAAGCCAATTAGTAAAGTTCTCTATCTAAGGAATCCAGCAGACAAGTTGAATCTTGGCTTCGTTGCAGTCTCCCATCCTGAGCAAGCACAGTGGCAACAGTGGAAAGGAAAAACTCCCTTTTTAAAGGAAGAAACCTCCAGCAGAACCAGGCTCAGGACAAACGGCCATCTGCTTCGGCCGTTAGACAAAAGTGTAGGAAGGCGGAGCGCAAGTGGAAGAGAGACAAGCTGCAGGTCTCTTTTCAAATACTAAAAGAGAGTTGGCATCGATATCAGAAAGCGGTGAAAAAAAAAAAAGAAAGCAGTGAAAGCTGCTGAATCTAAATACTTTTCTGATATAATTATAGCCAATTCTCAAAACCTGCATCCTCTTCTTTACTCTAAACTTAGTTCTCCATCTCAATGAACCATCTCCTCTGGAAGCTTCAACTGAGCTGTGCGAGAACTTTCTACACTTCTTTTTAGAAAAAATTGTGAACACCTGGGCTCTCATTTCCCCTCCAGCTCATTGTCTGTCCAGCTGTATTTGACCATTTTGAGCTCATCTCTCTGTTTTCTCTAGAGCAGGTCATGTGCAGCATGAAACCATCTGGTTCCCCCTTTGATGTGGTCCCCCCTCAACTACTAAAGGAGGTTTTTCCTACTCTGGGATCTTCTGTTCTAGCTATTGTGAATAGCAGTTTATCCTCAGGTAAGGTGCCAAAAACCTTCAAACATGCTGCTGTTCAACCTCTGCTGAAAAAGCCTAACCTTGACCCCCTCAATCGTGTCCAATTTAAGGCCTGTCTCTAGACTCCTATTTGTCACTAAACTACTGGAAAAAATAGTTGAGTCCCAGTTGAAGTGCTTCGTGGAGGATAATGCCATCTTAGAGCTATTCCAATCTGGCTTTAAACCTCTCCACAGCACTGAAACTGTTTATGATTTTAACATTTAAGCTCTTTTCATTCTGCTCTTCACATTTTAAGTTTTCCCACTCAGCTCAGCATACACACAAACAGAGAAAACAGAGAAAAACTTCTGGATTTAATCAAGCCTGAAGCACACACATACACACCTCCTTTCTGCATAGATGAGTCAAGGCTGCAACCCTCGCTTTAACTTCTGATTTCACTCTAAAAATCACCTCCATTGACATCCCTCCGTGAAATCAGTCCTTGCCCTTTTTGTACTCCTTCAGCCAGCCATTGTCCGATGTATCCAGACTCAGGACGTCCTCGTCATCGCTCAGTTCAATCACACTCTCATGTTGCAACACAGGATCTTCAGTGTCGCTGGGTTGAGGACTTACAGCGCTTTCATCAGAGATGTCCCATGCATCCAACACGGACATTTCACTCAAGTCGACATCCTCCGTGCATGTTCTGTCAGGCTGAGTGGCAGACAGTTGAGGGCTCTTCACTGCAGAAGGAGATCCATTCCTCTTGGGCTCAGGTGGAGACAGATCTGTGTCATCCTCCATTACTTGAGCCGAGTTTTCCAGAGTGCTGCTCGACGCAGGTGGTACAGGAGGGGTTACTGGTTCAATGATGCACCACCCAGATGATGATGGGGGTTGCTTATCACCGTCCTCCCCTTCCTCTTGTGGGTGCTCCAACGTAGGCCTTTCAGGAACTGTAGTAGGTCCACCAAGGGCCGGTGCGTCTTCTTATAGGCCGGGAGGGTCACCGTGTTGGTCCCACCAGGTGGCAAGGTAGCTCTCCAGGGAGTGTAGAATGGGATGTTACAGTGTGAGGGTTGGGGGTGACATGAATGCTTCATTGTCAACCTCCAATGGCAGGTTTTGCACAGGGGAGACTACCATATTGACGTGGAGGCAGCTTCGGATTATACCTCCATATGATCCGAGCCAGGAGAGCCAGACAACTCTTCAGGCACTGCATCTAGTTGTCTAAACCTTATTGCCAGGTCTGGTGCCAGTGGAATGTGAGTAATGGGGTCACTGCCCAGGGCCTGAACGATTGGTCTCTCAGGCGTAGTGACCTGCGGAGGGGTTGCCCCCAAGCTTGCTTCCAGGTAAACAGTTAAGTATCATTGGGCACTTTTAAGTGGTTATACGGAAATTCCCAAGCATTTTGACTGGTTATACGCCGTATACTTGCGTATCACGTAGACTACAGCACTGATAAATAGATAAATAGTAGACAGACAGACAGACAGACAGACTCTGGAACGAGTTACCTCTGCTTGTCAGACAGGCCCCCTCCCTCTCGGTTTTCAAGTCCCGTTTAAAAACCCACTACTATTCAGTAGCTTTCAACACCAGAGGATCTGTGTTTTGAACCTGTATGCTCCACACTGGTTAGTCGTCATCTGCATCGTTTTTATGTCTATATTCTGATTTACCTCATTTTGTATTTTGCTTTGTGTGTTACCTGTTGTTTTGTCTGTACAGGTCTTTGGTTGGCCTTGTCGCTGTTTTAAGTGCTCTATAAATAAAGTGGTATGGTATGGTACGGTATAGATAGATAGATGGTGGCCATCTTGGATTTTGGCGTTACAATCCAATTTTTGATAGGGATATTTTTTGCACTTAAATGTAGCCGCACACATAAATGGACGTCAGTACCTCATTTATTTTTCAAGTTTTCATGCTCACCACATATGCATACAAGCAGACCGAGAATAATTCTAAGTCCCCTTCCTTGCTATGCGACTGGGGACAAAAAAAGACACTTTTTTTTCTGGAAACCGTTTTTGCCTCACCTTGTTGGCTTCTGCTCCATGTGATTGTCTCTTCCCAGCCAGCTGGTTTTTCAGATCTCTTATCTCAGCCTCCAGCAGTTGTATAACCTCTTCGTAGTCCTGATCAGCGCTGCTGGTTTGCCTCTGAACTGCCTCAGCCTCGGCTGCCTGCAGACGACTCTTCAGTCTGGTGTTCTCCTCCACGGTCAAATAGGCTTTCTGGATGAACATAATGTGCTACAATAAATATTTTCATATGTTGTAATGGTGGGATGAGTTAAAGGCAGCTTGTTGTAAATAATACCTACTGACAAGCAAGATGCTGATTTTACACATTTAAAAAATAGAAAATCACTTTATGTGTCCTAGCTGGCCTCTTACTTCTGATGTCTTCTGCAGCTCCTCTTCAAGTGTTTTCTTGCTGTACTCCATGTCCTTCAGCATCACCTACCGAGGGAGGAAGCAGCTGAAGCCACAGCATTGCTGTTTCACAAGACAATTTAAAATATAAAGCTAATTCACAACAGAAGTCATCTCAGGGCTGGTTTATTTTGGAACTTCCTCTGGTCAGTCTGCAGCCTTGAGTTCTACCTCTTACAAACGTGAAAACAAACAGCTGAGGAGCAGGGTAGGTCCATGACAAAGGATGTATAGATAGACATGTCTCACTTATGGAAGCAGACTCTTCAACAAAAAGAAACATACAAATGGATGTCAGTACCTCATTTATTTTTCAAGTTTTCATGACAGCACAAATCTGCATACAAACCAGACCTTTTAACCAGTAGCAACACATTTATTTTGACAGATGATGTTGCTGAATATAAGCTTACCTCTCAGAAGCAAACATATTAAGAGACAGCAAGCACAAACAGTAACTAGAGAACAGGGTTAGCCTCGGTGGCTGATTAGCTGCTTTAGTCTCTGCATACTAGTGTAGTGGTGTCAAGGTCAGCTTTCTGACCCTCCACTACTAATTATTTAAATATAACGGGTTCTCTCTTTTTCGAGTTAAATTTCTGCCATGTGACGAGGTACTGTGAGGATTCTGTTTAAATCAGTGACATGAGACGTTAATTTCCTTTGACCCATCAGAATAAATGTGGTCATTTATTTAACAGAATCAAAATTTAACATCAAAACATGTACACGTGATTAGCTGATGTGGTTCTGATTAATAAAACTTGGCACGCTTTACTAATAAGACAACAAAACATTTCTGAAGGCATCTAGATTACTGGCAAAATAGAAGAGTTTAAAGGAAGGAATGAAGAGAAAAGATGGGTAAAGGGGGTGTCTGTTCGGACCAGGATGGCACGCTTCTTCCAACACCAGCTCAAACCTCCGATACACTTAGCGTGTCACGACTCGTTACCTTTGCAGAAGATAAATCAGCTCCGGTGTCAGGTCCATTTCAACGCTACCTTGTAGCGTCTCCGGAAAGAGTGGCTGGCCATCGTCAGAAGTCGTGTCGTTTACTCCATTCAACAAACCCAGCTCCCTTCAAGGCTGTAGGGCATTATGCCCGGGTGGATTCACCGCAAGGCTGTGAGTCCGTCAGAGTTTCCACTCAGGTGTGGAAGACTCCACAAGGCGGAGTAGACTGGAAGACTCGACTGGCTAGACCCCAACTCGACTGAGTAGTTCCAGGAAGTGTGGACTTTTAAAGAGTTCTCACTTCTGGTCACTCAGGACTTCCTGATTGGTTGAAACAACCAACAGGGGGTGGTTCTAGTGATGTCAGAGGGTTATTACAAGTCAAGAGGACAGCAGGAATGTTTAGGAACGTTTAGTACAGACAGAGAAATGTTTTGAAGAAGTGAGAAACTTTGCAGGTGCCAGTTGCTCTTATTTACTGTCTGCTAGGTTTAAAAACAATACAGCCTGTTCTAACAACTTGTTTTCTGACTGTCTCTGACTTTTGACCGACATCACTACTTCTCCTTTAGACAGAAAATCAAAATGCATAATTACTTTGTAAATAGACGTTTAACTTGATTTCTAATTTAAATGAGGTGTAAAGAAATCATTAATACTGTTTCACAGTTGATCTAAAATGAGTAGTTCATTTCAACTTTAGAAATGATATGAACTAAACACACTTTTGATTTATCAAGATATTGTAAAATAGTAATGATAATATAAAAAGAAGAGTGTTCTTTCAATTGATTACTTCAGGATACAATTAGACAGTCTCTGGATGAGCTAATTTGTATTTCTGGATTCAAATCAATGAAATAACAGTTCCTATCCCATGAAGGTCTTCAGAGGCAGGTTTTGGTCAGAGGCCAAGTTCACTACACTAGAGACAGCAAGGCTATGTTTAAAAATATCCATGTTTATGTCAGGGGGATGTGTATTATTTGTACTAAACATGCTCCATAATTTTCACTGCTTTCGTACTGTCATTGCGACTGATATTAAAATGTTCCATGTAATGATCAGTCTAGGTGTGACTGTTCAGTAAGGGACAGCAAGAGATAGTTTTTATTATCCTCAAGGTCTGATTGATTTGATTACAGTGACGTAACTTCGGAGAGTCCTTGGGAGCTGTCAGAGCTTACAAATACCTTGTCCTGCTGTCTGCAGCTGGGTTTCTGATAACGGCTTGACAGCGAGGGAGGAGCTGGAGGCTTTCTACAAAACTGACTTTTTCTGTTCAGGAAGTGAGAACGGGTCAGAGCCTCAGACAGGTGAAAGCACTGATGAGTTGTACTTGTAAATGCATTTCTGCAGTTGCTAGCTGTTCTCAAAAGCTTTGTAATAAATTTGATGAAGCCTACACCTAGGCCTGTCACGATAAAGAATAAATCAATTAATCGCATGATGAATGCAGTGGTGAAGATTCTCAGTCATCCAGGACATGGTAAATGTTATTGAGACAGCCCTACCTACACCTGGTTGTTTTGGGATTTACTTTTTTCCATGACATTTGTTCAAAGTCAGCCTAACAACAGTAAAATAGATTATGCACAAAATAGTTGCCATTTTCTGCCATGGCCTAGTTAAAGCCACCCTCCTGGCTGGCCAGTGCCCATAAATGGCATCCATTTGGTCAAACCAGCTCCCATCTTTTCTGCTTGAACCAACGCTGTTGTGGTCCTTTAAGGATTTTTATATTAGCTCAGTAGGTGGTACTCTGCTTTTATATTTGAGAGCCTCTGTAAAAAAAAACTAACAAGACAAGAAATCAGCTGAGCCTAGAAGCAGAACCTTCCATCAGTCTGACCTCACTGATGAGCCTCTCGTCTATTTTGTTCTGATAAAACTGTTTAAGTTTGGATGTAAAGAGCAAAAATTCACTTCTAGTGTGCACAAATAAATATTTAGCACTAAAAATTTGTTTCACATGCATGCAGGCTGCAGCATCAGACATTGCACGGCTGACAGCAGCTGTTTGTCCCAAGGCAGGACCCCACTAGCAGCTGCAACATGCTCATATATCCCTATCAGTAAAATAAAAAAAAAAATAAAAAAACTGTCGCGTACAAGTAGATTTAAAAATGCAGAATCCAAATAAATACATAAATAAATAAATCATCTCCATGTCTGACCACAGGCAGAGGAGTAAGTTTGACAAGGCCTCATTTTCAGCTAGAGGTTCTGAAGGGTCCAGTGGGCTGGAGGGTCTTCACAAAACTAAGGACTGCAATTTAAAAAAAACATGTCAAAAATATTTTTGGGTGTACTAAATGCTTTCTTTCCAAGGATTGCCATAAAATATTTACTTTGCCCATTAATAAAAACAAAAGGTCTTTCAAAAGATAAACCTGTAAAATAAATAAATAAATCATTTAAATGTGATATTTTTAATTCAGATGACAGGGGGAGTGGTGGCGCAGAGGACAGAGAAGGTGGGCCTTTGATCAGAATGCAGCTGGTTCAACTCCCCAGACCAATAACATCAAAATGTGGGTGGGAAAGGTGAAACACCCACACCTGCCTCCACCCTCATTTGCCCCACCCTGGGCCCCTGAGCAAGGTCCCTAACCCCCACAATCTTCTCCCCCAGGCTCCCAAGATGGTAGCTCCCTGCTCCACACAGAGGGTTGTGGTAGCTCCAGGGTCTGTGGTTGCATCAGGAAGGGCATCTGGTGTAAAAACAATTGCCAAGTCTTCGTGTGTTAGTTCACTGTGGTGACCCCTGAAAAAGGGAGCAGCCAAAAGAAGAAGATATATATTTTTTAATTTCAGGCTGAGATAGCTCTAAAAGTCTAACTAGTGTATTGTGGGGGGAAATTTCTATTTTTAAGCAGTTTAAACAAAAGTTTCCTCTATGGAACATGTCACATGGTCTTGTGGCTGGTTTCTGCCCCTGCACTCCCTGGTGTCCCATTCTAGTACCACCCCTGTGTCACCTGCGTGTCCTGTCCAACTGTTTGTGATTATGTCTCGTTAGTCTCTGCAGTCTGCATAAACCAGCCACTAAGGAGCACAAGCTAGTGTATCTCTTGTGCTGGTCCCAAGCCCGGGTAAACGGTGAGGGTTGTGTCAGGAATGGCATCCGATGTAAAACACTTTTGCCAAAACCATAATGTGAGTTCATCAAAGTGAAATCATACCGGATCAGTTGAGGCCCAGGTTAACAATGACCGCCACCGGTGCTGTTGACAAACAGGGTGCTGGCGGAAATTGTGCTACTGTTAGTCGAAGACCACGAGGAGGGAAAGTAGCACTTTACTAACACTGTATTCAGTGAAGGTGAGGTGCTGTTGACCTCAACCAGTGATGTTGTCGGGAGGTGGAAGGAATACTTCTCGGACATTCTCAATCCCACCAGCACATCTTCCATGGAGGAAACTGAGTCGGGGGACTTTGGGGTTGATCCGTCCATAACCATGGCTGAGGTTGCCGAGGTAGTTAAAAAGCTCAGAGGGGGCAGGGTTCCGGGAGTGGATGAGATTCACCCTGATTTCCTTAAGGCTCTGGATGTTGTGGGGCTGTCTTGGCTAACACGCCTTTGCAATGTCGCATGGACATCTGGGGCATTGCCACTAGATTGGCAGACTGGGGTGGTGGTTCCCCTCTTCAAAAAGGGGGGCCGGAGGGTGTGCTCTAATTAAAGGGGCATCACTCTCATTAGCCTCCCTGGTAAGGTTTATTCAGGGGTACTGGAGAAGCGAGTCTGATCATTGGTCGAACCTCAGATCCAGGAGGAACAATGCGGGTTCCGTCCTGGAACCATCTGCAGTATTGCAGACTCTGTACTGGTCTGTTGTGGTGAAGAGAGAGCTGAGCTGTAAGGCAAAGCTCTCCGTTCACCTGTTGGTCTACATTCCTACCCTCACCTATGGTAATGAGCTCTGGGTAGTGACCGAAAGAATGAGATCGCGGATACAGGCGGTTGAAATGAGTTTTCCCCACAGGGTAGCTGGACTCTCCCTTAGAGATAGGGTGAGAAGTTCAGTTATCCAGAAGAGAGTCGGAGTAGAACAGCTACTCTTCCA